AATCAATCAATCAATCAATCAAGACGCGACACTCTCTTAGCAACGCGCTGCAGCCATCTACAACGTGTCTTAAAGGACACTTAGTCACTAACTTGCTAGAACCTCTCTACAATGTAATTGCAAGCCTAACATAATTAAGATAACTAACGTACCCCACGGGCGAGTTGGACACACGGGCGAGTCGGACACTTTTGCCAAGACCCTACTAAACCTCACCCTATTATGGCCCAAAACACCACACTCTAGCGCTGCAAGGTGCAGTACAGCTTAGAATATCATTTAGAGACTACTTCTGCATCATTCTTGCACGTTCGCGCGTTGTGCCTATGTAACGGTCTAGACTCTAAAGCCAAAGAAGAGCTAGAGCTAGCCGGTTACATTAGCTTAGCCGGCTTGGCTTAAGCTGGATATATATTATCTACGCAGTTAACTAGACGTCTAGTTAACTTGTGCATGCTTTTTAGCAAAAGTTGTTAGGAAGTAGATATACTTTATTGGCCTTTGGCCAGACTACTACAGCCTAGTCTGATTGCACTGTCTACAGTGTTGTTAGGAGGGCTCACCCACTTTAGCGCGCACCCGCTTCTTTAACTTCTTTCTATCACCACGTGCCCTAAACTCCTTTAGAGCTGCTATCTGCTGCCCTTCCTTAACTGTAAGGGTCCCTTCCTTCTAGATTTGCTTTCTTTTGCGCGATTTACGTTCTGTGGCAGCTGCTAGAGCTGCATGAAGCTTAGCGTTCTCCTGTTGCGCCAAAACTAGCTTGTGGAATAGAATCGCTCCCCCCTTTGCGTAGTGCTCAAGCGCGCTCAGCACAGAATTAGGTGAGCTACCCTGCTGCTTCTTATACTTCTCTTGAATTAGAGTTAATTGCGACTAAAGTTCTAGGGTATTGCTAGGGGTTTGCAACTGCTAGGGCTTGTTATTACTAGGGAATTATAGTAATAGAGTACACAGCTTTATATTAAGCCCTATTATAACCTATTCTAGGTTAAAGGGGACTAGTCTAGCGCCTTAGAACCCTCCTTAGATGTTACTTAAGGTAAATACAGCATTATAGGCTACTTTAAAGTATAGCAGGAACTTAAGCTTTGTAATGTAGTTAATCTAGTTATGTATAAGGTCTTTAGCTTAGCGCCTATACACCTTCTTTAGAGGGGTAAAACAGCCTATATTAAGTGGCTGTAGGAGATGTAATAAGTGTAGAGGCATATATATAGTAACAATCTTATTATCCTTATAGTATTCCTAGAAATCTAGTAAGTTGTGCCTCTTATAACTATTAATAGCTAGCAGATAGTAGCTGCTAATAGTATGCTCCTTTGTATACGCGTTAAATTGCTTTAACTAGTCAAGACTAAGTTTATTAGTAGTCTAGCTATTCTTAGAGACCCTAATAACCTAATTATAGGGTAGATTATCCTCTTTGTACTAGTTTAAGAGGTAGTTATGGCCCTAGAAGATAATAAAGGGTAGAATAGCCTACCCTTTAGCATTAATGCCCTTAATAACTAACATGGTTGGCAAGCAAGTTGGTCAGACAAGCAAGTTGGTCACCCTACCAACTTTTGCAACTTTAAAGCGATATATCTTAACAACGCGATAATATTATTGCTAGATATTAATATAGTAGACTACTCTATATTGATAGTATCAGCGTTGCATGTGCGCGAGTTGTGCCCAGTCTCTTTACACCTAGTGCAGCGCCTTTGAGCGCGCTGGCTGAGGCCTGATCGCGCTCCTCCTTGACGCTCTTCATGAGCAATCTGCTGGTCAGCCTCATTTTGAGCCAGTATATCCTCTCCAGCTCCCTTTGTAAGTACTCCATG